ACCGGATATTCCCTGAGGTTGACACCATGAAGGGAGTTCTCAAATTTAAATGGCTAACTGCTATCTGAATTAACCAAACTCTTATTTTAATATAGATTTTCCAATGACCATGGCAGATAACAATAATCAGAAGATGTTGAAATTGTCTGCTGGCATTCCTGCAGCTACTATAAACATCATTTTTCAAAAAGACTCAATGGCTTTGTATGAAGATCTACTGAAATATAAAGCCTTTATATTAGTCAGAAACCTTTGTTAAAATACTAACTCAACAAGCAACAGCCTACCCAATCAGATAATGTAGATTCAGTGTATTTTTAGAGGTGTCAAGGAATTTTCCCCACCTCAGTAGAAACACAAATGAAATTACAAATTCCTAGAAGGCATTGATTTATTTCATGCTTCCTTTATAGGCTGTTGTTTAGAACAAGAGTTTCAATCAGTGGCTATGTGAATACCAGTTACTCAAGTAGCCTCTCTTCATGAAGTGGTTATAGGATGTGTAATTGAGCAAGTTATGGTAATCAGGAAGGGTGTGAACTAGAGAGTTTCCCTCTTCTATCAGAGATCACAATGCTCTGGCATCAAAAAGATACGCTTTCAAATTCTAGTTCAACCACTTACTGCTTGATGAATTTGGGAAGGTTGCCTAACTATTCTAAACCTTAGTTTCATCATCTTTAGATTGAATTTATAACACCTATCTCATAAAGGTGTGGTGAGCATTAAATATCAGAAATGGATATTCCATCTTTCAGTGATGTGGTATTTAACTAGGCATTATTAATAAAGCTTTCAGCACAGTGCCTGGCATAAAGTAGGCATTCACTAACTATTAGTTCCCTTTCCCTAGATGTCCCCAACCCACATTTCATGTCTAAAGGGATGAGTGTCCTATGTATAGGGAAGACTAAAATTCTACATGGTCTTTCACTGGGTTACCGTGAAGCAAATGTGGTTTTTGGAATACAGTCACAACTGACTTATTACTGAGTTGCTTAGATAAGAGAACCAGGGCCATCTAGAGTAAATACTAGAAATCAATGAGCAGGAAGCAAGTCCAAACAGACCTAAGAATCACAGCCAATACCAGGAAGTTATACCAATAGGCATGAATGCTCAAAACCATAGTGGCTGTAAATGATGGGACAGTGTGGTCTGGGTACTAAGACAAGTTGACCAAGATAGTTCTCCTGACTCTACTAAATGGTGTAACTCACTTCTGGGACTCTTGTTTTTGAAATGTGGTCAGTGACTCTTGCCACAAGATGACATTGAAGATCCATGACACTAAATTCCCTTGAAGGTTTTTCTATTTGCTTGGCCAAATGAAGTTTGGACCATCATAGGGAGGGAATGAAATGGCCACCAATGTGACAGGGCTTTACAGATATGAAACAAGCACCCAGAGCCCTTTTAAGGGCATGAGATGTTAGATTTTGCCTAGATGGTGGTAGAAATTCTGTATATCCTAAATTATTTATTTTGCTTCAGAGATGACTATTGTGGTCATAGGCAAGAAGGTGTGAAAATCATCATTCTAGAGATTATCTTCTAGAATTAAAAAAAAAGGTGATGTTTATTGTGTCATCCTGGATAAAAGTAAGGAAAGTGACAGTATGGGTCTTGTGCATTGTCATATGGACAGAATGGAGGTGATGAGAATGAGGCCAATCATACACTTCTCCCTCTCTAACGATGCATTTCAGTGGCTCATGTCTACTGCCATGTGTTAAGTTTCCTCCATGACAGATCATTCTGACAGGTAGACTGAAATCTGAAATATTGTAAAAGGCAATTGCTTATGGCAGGTACCATGCTTCTGGATGTAAGTGAAGGTAAATGCAGAAAGTGAAAACTGTAGGTATTTAGAAATTTTATTACAGCTGTAGACAAATGAGGGAGATAAGGGAAGCTGGCTGACTGTTGAGGCAAAGTTCGCAGGGAGGCCAATGTTCAGTGGACTCACTATGATTCACGCTATGGTGCTGACTTTGCAGAGTGAGAATCTTATTTTCTTCAGTGTACTCAGAGGAGATTAGAATCAGGAGGATTGGTACTATTTAAACCCACAAAAACTGACGTACAAGCCAAACACCAGTTTATACAATTATAATGAGAATTAACTCAGAAATAGGTTAGAACACTCGTGTCAGCTGGTTAGCAAATTTTCTCTCCCTAACAAAGTTTATAAGGGAAACTAATTACAATCAAATTACTTTGAGAGCATGGGATCAGAGCAATGGAGTTAGGTGACCATCTTAATGGCTGACACAAATTGGAATGGCCATTGCAGGGGTGGACATGCCAAACAGTCTGCTGGTCAACAACTCATCTCTGAATCTAGGGGGGTTACCAACATTCTGTTTAACTTCTTGCTTTTCTGTGCTCCATGAATACTATTCTCTTGTTAACAAATTCTTCTTCAGACTTACCATTAAATGATTAGATTATATCTTGCTGGGTGGCATCAATATATAGCAGACCTGCTTCCTTAAAAAACAAACTTGTTTGGATCTGGTGGTTCCCCAAGCCTTTGCAGTTGCTGACTCCATCTTTGAGTAGGTTATATCTCATCTGTTCTCTGTAGATTCTAAGTAGTTTCACTCTCAGAGGAATTCACATAGCTATTATTTCTTAGGACACACCCTTGTAATCCTCTTTATTCTAAATCATAAGTTATTCTAGTTGAAGTGAATGGCATATAATGGATGGTGTCACTATAACAAAAATTTTGAATTGGTAAAATGGTTGCTAGCTAGTAGGCAGTAAAGCATTATTCCAGCATCCCATTCATATGCTCAGTCTGGCTGTTGGATTGTATTTCACAGCGTACAAAAGGTCTTTGATTTGGAGCACCTCAACAAGGGACACCCAGAAGTAGAGGGCGAACTAAAGTTCATAGCCCTGGATTGGTTATGTTTTCTGAGAGCCTATGAAGTCTGAAGATTTCTAAGGAAAGAAGGTAATGTTGCTACAAAGAGAAAATCCAAATAGGAAATAAAATGATGTATCTTTGGGAAAGAACCCAAAATGATGAATCCTGGCCCTAAAATAAGGAAAGGTTGTTGATTAAGCCAACTGAATGCCCCTATCAGCATTCCAAGACCATACTGGGTTTGGTAAGGAAAGTGACTACAGGCCATGAGGTTGGTCCTTTATTATAGAATTGATGGAGGTGGAACAAGATACTTCCAGGTAATTTCAGAGTCACTCTAAGTTCAATAGCTCTACTTGTTAGAAGATCTCATACAATCCCAGTACTATAGTCGGAATTTCTTAGCATAACTGGAGTATGTTCACTCAGGTCTCTGTTGTGGGAGCATATAATGTGGTTGTACAGCGAGCCATTGTTAAAGGAAACCCTTCGTGAATGCAAATAAGAATGGTATAGTGGCTAGCAAGGCACAAGGTGAAAATATCTGTTTGTTGGTACTACGAAATCAGAGTAGTAAGGTCCTAGCTGGGTTTAAGTATTGTCAAAGTCAGCATAATTCTCCAGAAACAAAGCCAAAGTACAATGGCATTTCATGTTCTGAGAGGCCTTGATGGTTGCTAGGGAATATGTGATTACTGATATTTCTCCAGGATATACATTTTGGGGACATACATCAGCAACAAGAAGCAGGGAACAGAGGGCTGGTAATTACCAGCAAACAGTGATCATCGCTGAATAGTTTTAACATTTTAGGGAGTTGTGCCTTTCTAGCATGACACTACTTTTGTTCAGAAGCATCAAGAATCTATACACAAAGCTGGTGTGTACCAAGAATGAAACATAAGCAATAAAACCCTGATTTCCTGAGTTTCATGCACAGATGGTTTTCATGTATGTGCCCCAGGATTTTTCAGATGAGACAGTGCAGGAAGTTGTTTGCCATTCATTGTTTTTTAAGATCCTCATTTAGATGAAGGACCTCAGAGGTGGTCCATAAAGGTAGAGCTCAATGGCAATGAGTAGTAACCCTAGATGGTGACTATATTGAGGCTTCTAGAGTCAGAAACTACTGCAGGGTGTGGCTGTCAGTCTTCAGTGGAGATTTATTTGGCCGGGTCCCTTGTCCAAGGCAGCAAGGACATGCTACAGACACAGTAATTATGAGACATCGTTCCCAACTCTCACTAAATACCTTTTGGAAATCCTTATCCTAGAGCATATTGACTTGGCTATAAGACATGCTGGAACCTCAAGTTGTTGGAGAAGAGAAGAGTAAGCTGGAATTGGTGGGCTTGGCTAAAAGAATATACCTGCCTGATGGGCTAGTTTGCAAAGAAAGGGACCAACAATTCCAAGCAGTGTTGAAATGCCCATTCAATCTGGTTTGTAAATAGCCAGGAGATTCTGTTTGTTGGGAAAGCATGAGTCTTTAGATGGAAACAAAATGCATAGCTTTATGGAAGGGTGGCAAAGCTGAGGTTCCAGGAAGGTTGATTTATGCTGAAGGTAGATTCTAGTCCATAGGTGAAACATGGTCCAAGCTCTAGGAAGAGAATATTAGCAGAATAATGAAATGTCATTTGGACTTCAGTCAAAGGTCCTAAGCCAATAGGAAACTAAGATACAGACCAATAAAGGTGAAGGTAAAAGTCTTGAGCTCATTTCTAGGCACATGAGATTCAGGATTTTGGCCACAAACTCAACCCAGATGTCACCCATTGGTCAGGATAAGGTTCCCAATGTGCTTCCGGAGTTATTTTCATTGGCTTAGACTGGGCAAAGTTTTGCCTGCAGGTTTTTGGTACTCTTGGAGAATTAATCTCAACTGCAGAAAGTGCCTGTGAATTGTTTTCATCATTCTTGGGTTAGGTTTGGTGAGGGATAATTTCCCAATGAACAAGATCTGATTGTTTAAATTCCCCGAAGCGTGTCAGTTCATAACTGCCTCTAAAGTGGTGTCACAGTTCCCCATCCATATTTTAAAAGTTAATGCAGGATATAAATCGGTAAGGCTGGGAGTGAGAGGGATATAAGTTTAAAAAGTGACTTTCCTGGTCTCCTCTTACTGGTGAGCTGTGTTATTTGTCATTGCTGGAGCTCGAGAACGTTTGGCAAGGCAATCTCTTGTGAAGTGACCAGATTGGCTGCAGTAGAGGCACAACTGAGTTTCTTGCTGGCGGGCTCGTTTGGCTGGGGTGAGAGGCAGCTGGCCTTCTCGCAGTTGTATAGGCCCTTTCTTGGGTGGTGGATCTGTGGGGCTAAAGAGGGCTTGGTGCTGGATCAAGGAAGCCAACAATGGGAGCTGGGTCTCTGACTGTAGGAGCTCTGGCCTGTCACTGTGTTTCTTGTCCAACTGAATGCACTGAGTGATCAGGTCTGGTAGATTGTCCATCATATCAGTGACACTCTCTTCATCCTGGTTGAGATCATCTACTGCCTTTTCGAACTGCCCATTCTGACTGGTTTCATTACAGATCAGATTTTGAGCAAGGAGCTGGAAAGTAGTAGGGTCCTGTTGAGAGGAGTTGTCCCCTTTGTCAAACTTAGCATTCATCAGAAGGTTCATTTCCTGTTTTGTGGGTTTACCAAATGACTGCTGGAACTCAAGAATACAATTCTCACATTGCTTCAGTAAGGTACTCTTGTCAGGCCCGGATATGATTCCACAACTTTCTAACTGCTGAGATAGGTAATCAAAAAAGAGTTTGATCTGGGCATCATTTGCAGGATTAGAGATCTGGAGAGATGTCAAGTAGGTAGTCACCTGAGTGAGGAACTCTGAGCGATTGGCAGGGTCACCATGAAACTGGGTGAGATGCTCGAGTGAGTTCGGTACAGGCATCACTGTGGTGGCCATGGCAGGCATGACTTGGCCCCTTTTAGCAGTGTTCTCCGTGGTTGAATGCTGCATTTGAGGCCGCAGAATCAGATTCTCTCCCTGAAGAAAGGAAGGTTCTACCTGCAAGGTAGGCGGTGATTTTGTGCACTTCTCCATTATATCTCTTGGAATCAGGTGGGATTGAGTAGAATTGAGTACTAGTACTGGAAACCAGTGGAGACAGTGGATTTGCTCTGTGATCAGAGAGGGAGTGTCATGAGCAAGTAGCCAAAGTTGTTAGCTGTGAAGAAGACACTAGGAGATGCTAACAGCTGAATTGGAGAGATGCCAAAGAGTGTTGTCCGCCACTCAGTGTTGCCTCTTCTTCAAGGAAAAGGCCAATGTTCTGCATATTTGGAAGAAATAAATTACCTTAGAACACATAAAGGACTTGGGATTAAGAAGATATATACAACCATCACAGTACCTTTCTCTCCTCCCTCGTTTTCCTTGTAATATAAGGGCAATTTACCCTCTGACGTAACCTTTTCTCTAAAGCAAGCTTGGTCAACCTGTGGCTGGTGGGCCACATGCAGCCCAGGATGGCTTTGAATGCAGCCCAACACAAATTTGTAAACTTTCTTAAAACATTATGAGATTTTTTGTGATTTTTTTAAAAGCTCATCAGCTATCATTAGTGTTAGTGTATTTTATGTGTTGCCCAAGATAATTCTTCTTCTTCCAATGTGGCCCATAGAAGCCAAAAGATTGGACACCCCTGCTAAAGTATCTTTTTTCCATCAGAGAGTTAAAGAATTTGACAACCCAAAGTGATCTCAGGAGATTATCCAGGCCCAATTCATAATTTTTCAAATAAGAAAACAGAGACGCAGAGAGGTAAAGATGTTTTCCCAAGGTCACTCAGCTAGTTAATATCACAGCTGGCATGCTCATCAGGGCTATTGTCCAAATGGCACTTCCCCCAAGACCATAAATGTGCTCATTTGCATATACTGCTTGGACATGATGGTTCATGCACCTGGCTCCTCAAAATGTGATCTGGGAACAAGTGGCATTGGCACTACCAGAAAGGTTGTGAGAAATGCAGAATCTTGGGTCTCACCCCAGAACTACTAAATCATTTTTTCACACTTTAATAAGATTCCCAAGGTGACTAGCATGTGTGTTAAGGTTTGAGAAATGCTGCTGTAAAGAGCACTTAGTTTGAATTGGAATAATCACTGGTTGGACTTGACCGTTAGTGCCCCAAGCCTAGCCTGCATTGCTGTGGGGGATATGATTGCTGTGATGGCAGTTAATCCATGTTTTCTATCTTTCTAGTCCCTGTCTGAGGTCACAATTTCTTGCCATGGAAATGATTAAGATAGCACAGGCAAGACTAAGAGGTAAGGTCAAGAACCTAGCAAACAAGAACTGAATATTCTTAAAAGTAAAAAGATCAAAATGTTCAGCAGTCTTTCCAGCATTGATAACAAAAATAAAGCAACCAGTAAAAGTTAAAAACAACCCCAAACATATGGCATAGCAGTTGAACTATTCTAAACTTCAATTCCTCTCATTGCCCTTTCCTTGTGTAGCATACTATTTAAATATATTTAAATTGTCCATGGGTGGGAAAAAATGATGTATCATTGAATCTTTTTAAATGTAAGACTTGATTTCCCTAAGTTTTATTTGATGGTTCATTTTCTCTAGACCTATGAAAAAATTACTGGAAGACAAATAGTATAAGATTGGAGGCCACAAACAGGAATCCAACCACTAGTATTAAACAGTTGGATGACCTTAAAGAACTCATTTAGGTCTCGGTTTCCTTTTTTACCTAATGAGGATTTTTTTTGTTTTTGTTTTTGGTTTTTTTTTTTTTTTGAGACGGAGTGTCACTCTTGTTCCTCAGGCTGGAGTGCAGTGGTACCATCTCGGCTTACTGCAACCTCTGCCCCCTGGGTTCAAGCAATTCTCCTGCCTTAGCCTCCCGAGTAGCTGGGATTATGGGCACCTGCCACCACACCCGGCTAATTTTCGTATTTTCAGTAGAGACAGGGTTTCACCATGTTGGCCAGGCTGGTCTCGAACTCCTGCCCTCAGGTGATCCCCCTGCCTCAGCTTCACAAAGTGCTGGGATTACAGGCGTGAGCCACCGTGACCGGCCAGGATTACTATTTTGCTTACCTCAGAAGGTGGTTATATCAATGAGATAACAGATTGGTGCTCTGAGTGGCAAAAAATGAAAGATTTACTTCCAAAATTTTTCCAATGTAGATGAAAAATGCCCGGTGGAGAGGCTCTGCCTTTATCACATATTGCCAAAGTAGGGAGATGCTATCATACCCTCCTTTTTTTCTTCCTTTCCATATCTCACCCTTCTAATTTCCTGATCTGTCTTCCAGACATCTTCCACTTCCCAGATGTCCATCAATGAGTTCATTACTGCCATTCCAGCTAGGTGTCAACTGATAGCTAAGATGTTGTTAAATAAGGGTTAATGATTGGCCTTTCCAGGCCACGCACAGACGGTGGCTCATGCCTGTAATCCCAGAACTTTGGGAGGCCGAGGTGGGTGGATCACGAAGTCAGGAGATCGAGACCATCCTGGCCAACGTGGTGAAACCCTATCTCCACTAAAAAAAAAAAAAAAAAAATTAGCTGTGCGTGGTGGCACGTGCCTATAGTCCCAGCTACTTGGGAGTCTGGGGCAGGAGAATCGCTTGAACCCAGCAGACAGAGGTTGCAGTGAGCCAAGATCATACCACTGCATTCCAGCCTGGGTGACAGAGCGAGACTCTGTCTCAAAAACAAACAAACAAACAAACAAACAAACAAAACAAAAAAGATCTTTCCCAGAGCAATTACAGTTCACTCAAACTTTAATGTCATAAGAATCAACTCAGACCCAGTCCCTAGCAATTCTGATTCAACAAGTCTGGGATGGATCCCAGGAAACTGTATTTTAACAAGCTGGCCAGTTGATTTCTGATGTAGGTGGCTCTTGTGCAAAGCACTGTCCAGATAAATCTCAAAGAATAAAGCATTATTAGCAGTATCACAAAGAAGTAGGTATGGGGAGGGGACATATTTGGAGGTAGAAGATTGACTTTCAAATAACATAGAATGGGTGGTACACTATTCTACCTCCACATCAAGCACACAAAGAGCCTACACTGTCCTTCACTACTGCTCATCTCTCCCACGTGGTAGAGTTCAACAGTTAAGGATGTTACTTCTAAACTCAAAGTGACTTGGTTTGATCTATGAGCTGTGTGATTCTGAGCAAGTTATTTAGCCTCTTTGAGAATCAGTTTCCAAATTTTAAAATAGACATGATTATAATACCTGCCTCATAATGTTATGAAAATTAAATTAGATGAAGAGAGATTAGCATGGCTTCATGTATATAGCAAGTTCTCCACACATTTTTTTATTTTTGAGACAGTCTCACTCTATTGCCTAGGCTAAAGTGCAGTGGCATGTTCATAGCTCATTGCAGCCTCGAACTCCCAGGCTTAGGTAATCTTCCCACCTCAGCCTCCCTGGTAGCTAGGACTACAGGCACATACCACCTTGCCTGGCTAATTTTTTTTTTTTTTAAAGATGAGTTTTCAACACTTTGCCCAAGCTGGTCTTGAACTCGTGGGCTCAAACAATCCACCTTCCAAAATCCACCCATTTCGGCCACCTAAAACGCTGGGATTACAGGCGTGAGTCACTGCACTCAGCATCCATAAATGTTAGCTATTATTATTATAGGTCCACAAGCTGTTATCAGACTATGTTTTGGAATTTAAATTTTTTCAGATTTTTAGAAAGGTAACATGGAGTATGTACTGCTTATTATATAATACCTTCAGCAATGTCTGGGAAACATCCCATCCCATAATTAAGCCATTAACATTCCTGTAGGAAAAAAAAATGTCTGAATAGTCATACTAAAAAGGATAAAGACTAAGTGCATGACAATTCAGGTCAAGTTTTGCTGTCAAATGAGTTTTGGCACCAAATTAATGAAAAAAAAATGCTTCCATTTTACAGAGCTTTATGATTTCACAATTGAGATAAGAGATTACACGAACATTTACATTATTATAACAATGTCCTTTGATTAGAAATGTGAGATTTTAAATTTTCCTTCCTTTCCTTGCCTTCTCTTTCCTCCACTCTCAGAAGTTCCAGAATCTCTGTTGAGTTCTGTTGCTTTACAGAATTATGTATTCAAGGTGGCACAGCATTCAATTTTCTTAATTATGTAGCACTGGTGAAGCACTTGCTAAGATTATGAGCATTAGCCCAAATGCAAATCATACAATGGCACTGTTGTCAGTGGCAATTGCTTAATCCCCCCCCCAAAAATCTACCTTGCCTCATCATTTTGGAAATTGTTCTCCTTTAAAGGTCAGTGTCCTTATATTGGATTGTCCCAGAGGCTCCTAGGACAAAGCACGCCAGTTCAGAGGTGTTTCAGACCACAGCTTTGAACAGAAAAAGCAGAGACAGAGCCAAAACCTGAAATACATAGGCTTGAGGGATCAGACTTGTGAGCTCAGACAAAATCTAACACAAAACTGCATACATTTAAGATTTATTTAGTAGGTATGTGATTCAACTACAAAAACAAAAAATGGGTTTGGTAAATTATTAGAGGTCATTTTAGTGTTTGTATTTGGTCTGGCTCAAAGCCATCGTTAACAGTTTTCTCGAACATAAAACTACTTTACTCTGGAGTACCTTGAGATCCCATTTGGAGAAGAGTCAGCAGTACCCTGTTGCTTATAAGAGAGCTTTTTGACTTTACACTGCTTTAATTTCAAACTGTTCTACATAATCCCTTGGAAGAGGAGCTTTGACCTAGGGTCATGCAACTACCCAGAGCAGTTGTATATTTTACTCTTGATCTCCAAACCTTCTGAGGAATGCTGTGGCCACAGAAGCTAAACTGAGACATAAATTGAGCTATCCAAAGATGCAGTTGGAGGATGGGGATGAGGATGGGGATGGGATGAGTCTCTCCATGAAGTAAGTTACCAGTTCTATATCACTGGGGAATAAGCAGAGCTAGGATTACCACCTGGTGGGGAGTTAGAGTAGGGGGCTCTCAAGAGGTGACCAGAAGGGCAAACTGTTTGGACTTGTGTGGAGACCTGTGTGTGGGCCTAGCTCTG